TTGGCAGGAGACTTACCAAAAATTTTGTTGACGAGCTGACTTTGGTGTCCGAATCAGCGGCCAGAAATTTGGGACTTCGGAACAGCCATTTTGCCAGTCCGTAGGTTGAAGTGCCTTTGAGATAGGCCGGAGAGGAGGGCCCTCTTTTGTGTCCATTTGGCAGACCATAGAATCGGGCCAAAGTCGTTTCTTGCGCTTCGCCAGGCGTCGATCGTAAATCCTATAACTACTGTCAGGCAAGACAGAATGCTCCGTCATCATTTGGCCGGACGGCCGGTCATAGGCAAGACTCCAACAGCAGCGTAATTGGTGGAGGGAAGAACGATGAACACGGACTGTGAACCCCACCTTAAGCCATGTTTCCGTCTCGACGAAAATGAGCTTGCCTCGGTGTTCGAAAGTGTAAAAAAAGGGGAGAACGAGAAACGAGAAACACGGGTTTTCAGAGAAGGCCTCGGCAGCGCCAGAGATCATTGACTATACTTCATCCTCCGGCTTATCCAACATAACTGCTCGACGACGCAAGCTTCCGTGGACTTTTTAAAATATTCTAGACATTGGCAGAATGGTACCGACAAAGACAAGGGAGACTGGACATTAATGTCAATAAGCTAACCATAAACCAACTGCATCCAACTCTCTAACTTGTATCTAACCTGTGACTACCTAATCTAGCCTCAGAGAACTATCACTGTCCAGGAGTCCGTAGATCAAGGGGAGGATGGAGACCATCGGCAGTATATTTCGTCAACATAAACATTCCACCGGGGCCAGTTGGTCAAAAAATCTAAAAGGTGGAGTTCTCCAACAGCAACTGACATAAGAACGGTATCTAGGCACGCTATTGAGGATCTGACCTTCAGTTGGAGTTTTGACAGATGTTGAACAATTTATTCCCATCCAAATATGAAAAACTTGGCGATCTTGTTGGTATGGCTTAAGCGGTGGCTGTGCCCAAGCCTTCCTCTTGCTGTCGTGGGTTGGAGTCCCTATGAGGTCGCCAAATTTCCCACATTTGGGTCAAAATAAATTATCCAAATGGTGTTATAACCCCTAGTGAAGGTCGGATCCTCAATCACCTGACTAAATACGGTTCTTCTGTCAGTTGCTGTTGGAGAACCGTCTCTAATCACGCATATCCAGACAACCAGCAGACCTTGATAAATCGAAACCG